AACCCTTTTTTTCTTTTGTAGAGAGACTTGCCTGGTGCGATGTAGCCGTATGAGCCAGCGACTCGAGACATAGCGTTGTGATAATTCGGCGAGTTCATCATCAGCTTCGCGAGTCCGAAATCCGCGAGGATCGCTTCGTATTTGGAATCGAGAAGAATGTTATTACATTTCACGTCTCTGTGTAGAATCGCCGGAACACAATCGTGGTGAAGATAAGCTAGTCCCTGAGCAGATCCAATCGCGATCTTGTAACGAGTTTCCCAATCCAAGTTTCTGTTTCCTTGTAGTAACTGTTGGAGATTCCCGTTGGGGAAGTAATTGTAGAGTAGTAGCTTCACTGATTTGTTAGAACAGTAACCTAAAAGTTTGACGATGTTTCTGTGTCTGATATTACCCAGAATCTGAATCTCAGCTGCGAATGAATCGATCGTGGGTTCTCCTCCTTCGTCGTTGTCTTTCGTTTTCCAGAGTTTCTTCACCGCTACGATCTCTCCGTTTGGCATTTCCGCTTTGTAAACGATTCCTGAACATCCTTTTCCGATCACGTTCTCGTCTACTAAGCAGTCTACGATGTTGTTGACGCTGATTCCGAGTTTCTGAAACGGTATGAATGTCCATGGATACGAGAAATCTTCTGCTGTTGATGGAGATGAAGTCGATGTCCTTGCTGATTTCTCGGTTTTGTATCGGTGATTGTTTCTTAAGACGAGAAGCCACGCGGCGAAAAGGGCGATTGTGATCGAAGCGAGGATTACAGAGATTAAAGCTACAATCTTTGGGGATCTGATTCCTCTGTTTTGACCAGTTTGTGATGAGCAAGTAATGCCGTCAATTGAGTGGCAGAGATTGGTGTTTTGGAGATAAGAACTTGTGGAGATTGTCTTGAAGAACGGTGTAGCTGGGATAGGACCAGTGAAGTTGTTGCAGGAGATGTTTAGAGAAGCTAGGCTCGTGAGGGAACCGAGGATTTTGATGTCTCCGTGAAGCATATTGCGTGAGAGATCGAGTGACTGTAGCTGCGTGAGGCCGGAGAATGTATCTGGGAGGGATCCAGTGAAGGCATTGTAGCTCAAATCTAGATTTATAGTCAAGCTTGTGACTTGGCCGAGTTCTTGTGGGATTTCACCGGATAAGCTGTTGAAGCTTAGATCAAGCAGTGTAAGCTTCTGCAGATTCTTAATGGATTTAGGAATTTGGCCAGTAAGGAGATTGTTGTTGAGGATCAGCTTGTTCAAGTAACTGAAGTTGCCGAAACTGAGCGGTATGTTTCCGGTAAAGCTGTTTCTGCTCAGATCAAGCTGCTCTAGGTTCACAAGGTTCCCAAGCTGAGAAGGAATATCTCCGGTGATGTAGTTATTGTGTACATCTAAGAGCTCAAGCACAGTGATGTTAGAGATCTCGTACGGAAGCCGACCAGAGAAATGGTTCATGTAGAGATCAAGAAACACCAGGTTTTGTAACTCGCCTATCTCTTCAGGGATCTGACCTGAAAGTTGGTTCTCTCCTAGTCTTAGCCTCACAAGCGACTGGCATTTCGCTACGCTCTTTGGTAATCCGCCCGATAAGGAGTTTCCAAGAAGGAGAAGCTTGCTGAGCCTCTTTAAACTGAAGAGCTCTTCCGGGATTCGTCCGGTTAACTTGTTCCTAGAGAGGTCCAAGGCAACTAGGTCCGTGCAGTTACCGAAAGAAGAGGGAATTGTTCCTGAAATCGAGTTTTCCCACAAGAAAAAGCTCTGCAGAGACTTAAGGTTTCCGATTTGCGAAGGTATGGAGCCTGATAGCTTGTTCTTGTCCAGCTGAAGAGCAATGAGGCTTGAACAGTTGCTTAATTCCCAAGGAATCTGACCGGTGAACATATTATCAGACAACTGAAGCTGCTCTAACCAAATAAGCTTCCCCAAATCTCCAGGAATCTCACCGGATAGATCGTTGGCCGAAACATCAAACACCACAAGGGAAGAACAGTTGGAAATCTCAGGTGGAATGACTCCAGATAAAGAATTCCCCCATAGAAGCAAGCTAGTGATCTTCTGGAGCTTACCCAGTTCCTTTGGGATGGATCCAGTGAGCTTGTTCATGTGCAAATACAAGTTCCTAAGCTCTGAACACAAACCCAGTTGAGGTGGAATGGTACCAGAGATCTCAGTGTCATACAGAGCCAAAGTTTGCAAATTTACCAAGTTCCCAAATGTGGAAGGGATTGAACCTGATAAACCACTGGCTGCAAGCCCTAAAGTTGTCAAATTTGTCAGAAACCCTAGCTGAGCAGGGATAGGGCCTCCAAGATTAGGGTTTCCACCAAGCCTGAACTGCTGAAGAGAGACCAGAGAGCCCAAACTTGAAGGTATCGAACCATTCAACAGATTATCCTGAAGACAGAGAACTTGCAATGAGTAGAGACTTGAAATCTGAGAAGGGATTGAGCCAGAGAGCCTGTTGGCGTTCAAGATAAGGAACTGGAGAGAAGAGAGACGGCCAAGCTCTGAGGGGATTTGACCAGTGAGAGAGTTTGAAGAAACGTCGAGAAGCCTGAGGTGAGTGAGTTTTCCAAATGAAGGAGGGATTGGGCCAGAGAGGTTTGTGGAGGAGAGGTTTAGGAACTGAAGAGAGGAGAGCGAAGAGAGGTCAGGGATTGAAGACAGGTTAAGGAAAGTGTCGGGGATAGAGACAGAGATCACTCTGTTGTCTGCAGAACATGTAATGCCATGCCATGAACATGGTGTCTGGTCTTGTGGGTCCCATGAGGAAAAGAGTGATGAAGAAGAGGATGGGAATGGTGTCTTTAGAGAGAGAAGAGCTTGGCCATCTGAAGAAAGAGAAAGAGTGGGTTGGACCATGGAGACCCATA